ATCATTTCTGATAGTTATTCCACTAGTTAATAGATTTTAAAGACAAATTATATGCTATTGTAAAATGAAAACAAAAACAAATTTCGAGTTCAAAGAACACTTAACAAAATGATCTCTCAATTCTGGCTATGTGGTGTCCTTATCATACAAAGATTTCACAAGGAAACCTTAGCTCACTAAATGAGCAAACTTTTGGAAAGGTCAGGCTTATTCCAATGTGAGTTTCAATATATGGAATCCACTGTGGAACATAATCCAGAGGGAATAAACTCTGACTTGCTTATGACTGATTCTCAAAAATCAACAAATATTATTCCCTTTCAAAAAATAGCATACAAGCAGTTTCACTGAATCACGAAGGTTCTATTTATAAATCACACAACATGTAGTTTTTACTCACAATTTCGGGCCTGTCTCCCAAAATTTGCAAAAAGCTCTTTAATTCAGCTCAGTATGTTTTATTAAATACCATATTAGGATTTTCCCCATTCAGACTCCAATGAGACTTCTTATTGAGGACATGGAAGGAAAACCCAATTAGTGCTGCTCCAGTGCATGTAAATTTATTTCATCATGAAAATCCACAGAGTAGGGGCGAGATGCTGTCACAGAACGGCAGACGGATGTGGAATGTAAACGGCTCTTTCCTCCACTCTGCCCCTCTCCTACCCCGCCCCTCCAAGTTCCATGGTTGGAAATCATCCTAACATTTTTTTTAGCCAGGATGTACTAAAATTAGATGGGAACAAAGGACTGACATTTTCATATTAGAGGAGGGGTTAGGAGAAAAATGTGAACGTGCAGCACCCACTCTCTCCTACATTTAGCCTCTTTGTCCTGACTATTCCCCCGACTCTGAAGCAGCAAAGAATGAAAGAGGAGGGGAGCCACCAGCCACCCCAACAGCGCTTCCATTCTGCTACAATCACATCATGATACACTGCTTCATCTCTGTTAACGAAGAGTGATAAATACACTTCCTGGCCCTCTTATTCAACCAGAGTATTTCATATTTCTAAGCTCCTCAGATAATATCCAGAGTATGCTAATTGCTGGCTCATGTGAAAATTTTTAGGTATTTGGGAAAACAAATATATTGTCAGATTCACTTTTCTTAAAAAGCTTCTGGATAGCATGCAAAATGAAGCTCACTCGATAACATACCATTTCCTGATGCAGTAAAATACATATTTTAAATATAAACATATTTAAGTATATTTAAAAATGTAAATATAAGAATTTATCACTTCTTTGGGAAGGATCACTTAAAAATGAAAAAAGTAAACAAAAAAATGAAAAAAGTAAGTTCATTCGTTTTTCTATATCATACTCCAATAAACTAGGCAAGTAACTGGCAAATACTTTAAGGCACAATTGATCTCTTGGTCGAGTCTTTCTTACAATGGTATCAGCATGACAAAAGTACATTCTGCCTGCCTCTACGCCCCAGTTTTTGAAGTTCTACTCCATAAAAGCAGGACAGAGATACATTCAAGTCTTGAGAATTATTCCTGTCTTTTTAATTTGGTTTCCCTGGGCCTAAACCACAGGTCCATACAGTGACAGCTTAAAATGCAGTTAGAGAAGTAGTCCTTTTAATGATTAGTCTAATGCACTGTGTTGTAAAGATTTTTAAAACTCAGTAAGTACCGACTCAAGCTCTCTTTTTTTTTCTGGTTACTGGAGCCCATCTTGACATCTAAGCTGGAAATGAATGATCTTTCAACAACACTCCAGGGATTTTGCTAAGGTCATATTCAATCATTCATTAGGCTTCTTACCCCTCGCTTTTCAGAGTTCCATTGTAGAGCTCGTTTTATTCAGCATTTATGTAGCCTGTGGGCTTGGGTATTTGTCTGCTTAATGTTGAGTTTCATTTCTATGCCCCTAACATAGGAATCTATCAATTGACCAAAGAATTTCAAACTATTCTTTTACTTTTCTAACAAATTGCATGGTATGTATGAAGAATAAATTAGCATTAATTTTCTTCTATTAACTGTTAATAAAACATGCTCATGTGCTCCCCCCTTCTTTAAGGACATCTCTGTTTTCTGCCTAGCCAAGAGAAATGACAGGGTTTTCCAATTTTTTCCCAACGATTCAATTGTCCTTCAACCTACCAAGCTCCTCACCTCCCACAATCAGACTCCAGGTCACAGGCAGCCTCCTTCCTGTGAAGTGGACTAGACAAGACTGCTTTCAGACCCCAGCAACACCCCCTCGGCACCCCTCCTCCTCCACACACACACACAATTAGCTAAAGAGGTTACTACAGTGGAACACAAGACACTTGGTCTCTTGCTCTCAGTGCAGAAGGCTGTCTCTGGAGCACATACCTTCTATCTAGCTCACAGGGCTAACAACAGGGACTCAAACCCAAGTGTCCCCACAGGGGTAGAATGCTGATCCAGAGAGCAGCTAATTTTCACATTCATATACCTTTTCATTGTAGGCTTCCAGACACACACACACAAATAAATAAATAAAATTATTTAAGAGAACATAAATCAAAGTCTATTCACATTGGCTGGGATACTCTATTTCTTTGCATATCAGTTTAAGAAAAATTATCTCAAAGCCACATAAAACCTAATTACTCATTTGGGTTCTTTAAAATTAAGGTTTCTATTTATACTCTGGATGAATGTGAATGAAAGTCAACATATAGGTAATGTGTTACAGTATCAAGAAAATTTAAAAATAAATGAATTGAAATACACTATTTATATAAAGAATAAAAAAGTCTTTCATGTATGTTTACCTCCCTCCTTCCCCCAAAATAAACAGAAAATCGCACACATGTCACAGATGAAGAAAAGGCAAACACACTGCCACTATAAAGGAAAAAAATCATTCAAGGACAGTTTGTACTTATTTTAAAATGGCTTTAGTCTAGCTGCCAAGAGTAGTGTCAGGTTTGATTCTCAGATACATAAACGCTATAGGCCCAAAAAGCAACTCTAACGTGTGCACCTGGCTTAAAACAAAACGTGCTGAAAACTTTCCCTTTGTTAATTGGTGTAGCTCACCCACTCAGGCCTCCAATCCCTTTGGACTTGCACGCGCTTCCTACACACAGAAGTGGACTGTTACGCAGCAATAACATCATCATGAAAAGCAACAATTCTGTGCAGGCTCCAGAGAGCAATCTCGTTTGCATTTCAAACAAGTTTTCTCAAAATAAGGGTGTCTTTTGATGAAATAAAATTACAATTCCAACTTCTTGTCCAAATAAAACAGCATTCACTACATAAGCTACTGCTCCCTTTTAGAACTGCATGATTTCCTTTGCAATTACCCACATATCTGTATGACATATCAAAACTAAGTTTGATAATAACGTGTTTATGACTTGTTTCAATAACTTGGGGACATTTACTGGCCTGGTTTTGAAAGTGTGGTATTATCTGAAAATATTAATAATTTATTGTTAGCATCTTTGGACCTTCCATTTGTCCTGATTTCAATCTCTGAGAGGCTGGCTTCCAGCAGGATTAAACTTCTAAGAAGAGATGACAACTCCCCTTTCCTAACCTTATGAACAGTTCCATGATTCTCCTGCCAAAAATCCTACATCTCTGCAAACAGAACACACATACCCCCACAATAGTGACTCAAGGAGCTTTTCAACAAAGGCGCTCTCCAACTATCAGTGAATCAAACTCAATGTCTTAGTCTGGTTTTCACAGAAAGCCTGTTTTGCTCCACTGATGCTTCACAATAGCATAAACTTAACAACTCAGAATTCTAAAAGAGTACCTACATATTAATAGTAATGTGGAAGACAACAAAGACAAGATCACCTCAGTAAATTATATAACACTATTTTTATGGTTTAAGATCCCGAGTCTAGTTTATAACATCAACACAATTAATTTTACATGTTTAAATCACATATATTTTAATTTTTCTAATTAAAATTTTTAAATTTTAAATTTTCATTTTCACACATATTCTTAAAATTAAATTTTAATTTTTAATAATAAAATTTTATTTTATTTCTCACTTTTTCATGTTAAAAATTAAAGCTTTTCCAAAAGGGTTATTTGTGTTGAAAGTTTATGGAAATGTCTTCAGTTATCCGGTGCAAGGCAGATAGTTATCTTAATGATTGATTAATGTTGATCTAAACCAAACTACTCTTCTCTTCCCCTTGTCTCCCTCCGGACAAAAATGAAAAGAGAAAGGGCGTAATGCTAGACTTGCTCAGTACTGGAAAAGCATTTGCTAAACAAAAATTCTGTTTGTTTTATAACCCAACAGGACCCAAAAGCTGCAAATCATAAAAACTACTATCACTTTTTAAAAACCTGTATTATGATGCCAACATTAAAACATCAGCCCAAAGACAAAATGGCAGTGAGGATTAATAAAACTTATTTTTTCAAAAATGATCATAAATAAACTGTTTCTCTTGCTGATCAGTGCCTAACTAGAACATCTTTGTCCCCAGAGCCCTGAGGATGTATATATATATAAAACTTACACCACCTTTGACAAAAGAATGACACAATTCAGTTCTTGATTAGGCAAGTCTTGTAAGACAAGCAGGGAGACAGTGAAAATAAATGACGGATGACTCACTATTCTCACAGTCCACCAACCAACAGTCACTAACAAGGAGCTGCAGACCCCTAAAAATAACTGCCCAGCTCCTCTGACAGAATTTTCGGTGCCCAGGCCTAGTCCCCCCAGTGAACCGTAAATGCCATTATGGCAGGGCTTCAACCTGGGAAGTAAACAACGAGAGACAAGATTTCAGAGGCGGACCCAGAGAGGAGCCCTGGCTCCATCCTGCACTAGCTGTCTGATGTGTGCAAACAGGAATAAGTGATACACGCCTGGAGAAGATACTGAGGGAATTCAATGACTCAGTAAGATAATACAACTAAACACAGTGCCAGCATATAACAGTGTCTCTTAGATGTCTTTCCTTATACTGTTTGTCCACCACAGTGTACAGAAAACCATCAGCCAAAAAAAAAGTTCAGTAAATATTTCTTGATCAACTGATACATTTATCTGATTTTAATTACACACATAAGGGCTGAGACATTTTCTGATATTAAATCTTTTTTTTTAATCACCATTCAACCCAAAATATCATACTTATTATGTTTTATAATAGTCTAATAAAAAATTAAGAAAATCATTTGGCTTATTATTCTGACCCTGGAATAGCTTGATCAAATCTTCATAAATAGCTATATTCAGTTCATCTTTACCGAGGCACAAAAATCAAGGATGCAAGCTTTCTGTAAATTCATTTACTGCTTTAAAGTTTTAACTGTTCAGCAGTTACAGGAATTATTTTTTTAATCTGAAAGAGAAATATTTACATCTCAAATACAAAAGAAAAATTTAAAATTATTCTTGGTTGATCTCTAAAACCCAACCACTTACATGCTCATGATTTTATTTTTAACCAACCCATTATTTCTACTCGAAATGTGCCTCCTGTGTACTTACTAAACATTTACCTGCACTTGCATTTTCTGTGTCAGGTTTACTTTGATGCAGAGCTTCTTAAAAAGACACTAACTGAATCTGTCCGGTGAAAAGTCTCATGTTTTTTGGAAAACCAACGCTGCTACACTGTTTCCAGATCGGCCTCCAAAGCTGAACTTGGGTGTGGGCAGCTCTTCAAAAAGTTCAAATCCTGCCAAAGTTAAAACACTTTCATTAGGGACTGACTCCCACAGTGAAGGGATGTTTGTATTAACAAAGTACGTTTGAACCTTTCATAAAACTACATGATTCCAAACTGAATTGTGACTAAACTTCACTTTATGATTTTCAATTCTACTCTATGTGTATACGTATATACACTCCAAAACACTGACATCAACAAGCAACAGACAAAATTAAACTGGAGAAAAGCAGCTTTCCATCCATCCCTCATTTCCTCCACTTCCTTTTCATCATCCCTTCAACTACGCATAGCGCTTCCTCGATGGCTCAGCAGGTCAAGAATCTGCTTGCAATACAGGAGACACAGGAGACGCGCGTTCAACCCCTGGACTGGGGAGATGCCCTGAAGGAGGAAATAGAAGCCCGCTCCAGGGTTCTTGGCTGGGAAGTCCCACAGAGAAGCCTGGTGGGTACAGCCCATGGGGTCACAAAGCTTTTAACAGGACCGAGTGACGAAGCATTCACGCACCGCATCCATTAAGCGCACAAACCCTGCCCCTCCACCAGCCTCCTTTACCATCCAGCTGTAGGCAGCTTATCATGCGCTGAGGTCTTACCATGCATCAGGTACTGTTTTGAGTGCTTTCTACATATAATTCAGTTAATCCATGTCAGATATATAAAAGCACTTTAATATAGAAAAGTTAAATAATGAGGAAATAAAAATGACAAAGTTCTGAAGATGGATGGGGGTGACAGCGATGCACAACAATGACCATGTACTTAAGGCCATAGAACTGTAAACTTAAAGATGGCTAAATGGTAAATTCTATGTCATATATATTTTACAACAGTAAAAAAAACGGTTCGGAACCCAAGATCCAGACCCAAACTGAACTCAACTTGGGAAGACAAGGAAGTAGTGACTGCCAAAGTAGTGCAGGGTCATTCTTTTTTTCCCTCACTTAACGTGGATTCAAACATCCTGGTTCAAGTCCCACCTCCACCACTTACTAGATGGCAGGTTATTAGGTTAAGGTCAATTTACCTCACCCAGAATCCTCAATTTCTACACAAGGAGGTTATAGGTATCACTGCCTTACCTAACTCCCAGTGATTTTGTGAAGATCAAAATAAGATAATGTGGTGTTCTCCTAAACTATAAAACAAAACAGAAATTTAATGTGTTATTATTCTGTTTTTAAAAACTAAGACAAATAAGGGTAGGTGGCAGTTTACCATAGTTTCCTCTCACGATGAGACTAGCAGTTTGGGAGAACTTTTTTTTTCTTTTGGGGAAGGAGATGCCTATATTTTCTAAGTTTCCATGCCTGAGCTAAAGCTCATATAACTCTTGTAAACAGAAAAAAATGTTTAAAAGGATATATACTATTGTATTAATTGGTTTTTTATACTTTTCTTCATAGTTCATATTCTTAACCAAAAGTCACCAAATCTTAATAACTAGATATTAAAATGCTAATTAATAACTAACTATTAAAAAAAAAAACTAACCATAAGAAAACTTTCCCAAAGAAGGTCAGGCCTTTTAAATAATATATTTTAATGCTAAAAAATGGAGCCACTGTGGTGGGTACATGTGGACACGACCCTATCTGTTTTCTGACATTTTGTGTTTCAAATACTTCATAAAAAAAATTTTCAAAAGAAAATGGAGCTCTCTGTGTAAATTTTCTAAAACTAATCTTTTAACTCCCTGGACTAACACTACAGAATTTAAGCTGTTATATTTCAGTAGATAATACATCAAAGTGTTAAAAGTGGCTGAATACCAGAGAAAATGAATTGTAATTGTTTTAATCTATATACTTATGTGTTGGGGTTACTGATATTTTCAAATGTTTTTCATAATAAATCTGGGTTACTTTTGTTGTAAGATAGGTTTCCGAGTTTTAATTCCCTAGTTGTAAGAAAGTCAAGTTCCTTGGACATCAAATTAGAATATCCTAGTGTCTGGCAAATGATTAAGCAATCTTAACCAAAACAAATACCACCACCAAATATTTATATAATAGGGCTATAAAGGAAAAATTCATTTTAACAGATTTACGAACATTTACATTTCAAATTAGGAAAGAAGCAAAGAACCTGAAAAAATTAGTGAAACAAGCTTTATTCTGTGCGAAAGGACCACAGAAGCCAATCTTAAACCCCAGTGAGAAGCCCCTCGGCAGCGATGCATGGCAGTGTTCTGTGTCTAACTCCAAAAACCATTTTCTAAGAGAAGAAAAATGTTTTCAGTATATATAATTATTTCTTTAACATTTCCTGTGGCAGCATTTCGCTTATTTAAATTCTGCATTAAGTTCTGAAACTGAACATAAGCTAAAGAATTTACTTAGTGGTTCTCAGAGACAGATTTTTAAGCACTCTTTACCAGGCTAAAGTCTGTTCCTCATTATCAAAGACAGACAAATATGTTTTTGTCTGGTGGTTTCAAGGGTAAAAGAGAACACCTGTATTTAAAAACCAGGAAAGTAACTTGCCCTACACAGTGTAGTGCTGAGCATTTATTAAAACTGTCAAGCTTCAGGAAAAAAGACTATTGGTACAGGGCCTCAACAGTTCTAAAGGAAACAAATCTAACATAGAAGATAATAAAATTAATGACATGAAATAAAAGACAATAAATCACATCATTCTTGTTTTCCAGAGGCAGCAGTAATGAAGCCTCAAGCTCACATTTCAAGCCTCAAACACTTCAAGTTTTACATTATATAACCTGCCAAAGCCATCGAACGCACACAGAGGACATGTGTTAAGTGTTCTCCCTCCTGCTGCCTATTCCCTCACTACCAAAAAGAAAACAAACTCTGAGACGAAGCACATGCAGTACAGTTATAAATCCATTTCCCTCTAGCTTGTGACAACTGCAGTTCAAAATTTAACCACAAGGTTACTACCATGTCACTTATTCATACTCCATCCTGAAAATTCGTCCCATTCCTTAAAAAAAAACCCTTAATACTAACCTGAAATGGAGTGTAAGGAAAAAACAAGCAAACATCTAGCTATAAAGTCTCAAGGTACTTTCCAGAAAGGCCTGTGTACTGCATGAGTAAGTGACAGGTGAAATAATCCTTCAACCATGCAAGGAACAGTCTGCCAAAGCTCAAAGTATTTGCGTATGGATTAAAGATTCTCACAAGATTCCCATTTAGTAGACAGAGTACTAATTATACTTTGCTAATCGAGGGGTGGGGGGAAAAGTTCCTATCTTGGCACCAAAATCTTGCAAAAAAGTAGAGATTTCCTCAAGAATTAATATGCAGTAATTCTTCTAAATGCCTATGTTTTGCTTCTATGCAATGTCAAAAAAAAAAATATACACTGAAAACAAGAAGAAAAATCCTATACACGTAAATGACCACTAGCATCCACAGAATTGAAACTCTCACCATATAAGACTTTAAAAAACACTAATACCACCTGCATTATTACTATTATCACTAATTACTGGTATATCAGTGCACTGAATTCAGAAGCACAATATATGTGCTTTCTTTGTTTTGATTCTCTAAATAAGAGATTATACAGCTTAAATAAAGAATTTTTACAGACTCATAAATTTTAGTACTTAACTGCCAGAATTTCTTGGAAAATTTTACAAAGGACTCTGGATCTCAACCAATATTATTTCCTTGTTCTTTGAATATACAGTTAAAAGTACTGCCATGGTTATTAACAAAGAAGAAAAGCAGGCAACTCCCACAAACAGAAAAGTAAAACAATGTAACACCAGGAAAAAAACCTATTTGAGTGCATTCAACATGAGGTTAGAACACATTTAAACAATATACAGCCATTTACCTTCACTGAATTCATCTAGCAACTCTTCCTTGGTCCAATTACATGAGGTTATTAGAAAAAAGCCTTTCACTTTCAATACTCTGGAGAGAGATTTCACATACTGTTTCCTCTTCTCAACTGCATTGTCAGGATTAAGGCTTATGGCATCAAAAGTCCCTTTGTCAATACAAATATGAAATCCAAACAACTTTGTGGAAGGGTTCAAAAAGTCTTCTACCTATATTAAAAATCAACGTCTATGTGAAACAATCCACACACAATCTTTACTGAATTTAAGTAACAATCTATAAAAAGTGATAGATAAAAGGAGCAATTAATTACAATGGCATTTTACATATAATAAACATATTTTCAACTTCACAGCTAACTTTTATGTGCTTCATTCCAATATCATTAAAGCTAAGATTAGTAAGCAAGACTGACAGTGTTTCCTGGACATTCCAAATCTCTACAAATTTGGAAACAAATCAAAGCCAGGTGTACTGCCTAATAATACCAGCACATAATGGAGGTCACAAGCCCGGTTTATGAAAAAGTTATTTCTGTTGAAAAGCAGACTATTTGACATATTTTTTTAAATGACAAAAAAATATCTTGAACTCAAATAGGTCACTGGAAATATGATGATTTTTAGCTGATATTACTAGTTGTCTGACCTGAAGTAAACATGGTAAATCAAAAGATGTATTGCCTTGACTCAGCAGCTTGCAAAGCAGCTACAACAAATAGTACAAAGCTTAAGAAATTAAAGGACTGTTTAAACTGCAATTACCTAACTTTTCAAATATCACGCATTTCAGATTTTGAAAGTCATGTATCATTCATCTCATTCATTTTCAATAACTTACTGATACTTCAGAAGCATCTGGAATAGTGATCTGCCTCAATTTCATAAAATATTCAAAACAATTTGCCAACAATATTAATTCTGAAAAGCTACTTTGAAAAATTAAGCAGTTAGTTTGTGATTATTCATATAAACTTAACAAAATAATTATAAATGGTGTATTATCTAAAACTTCGTTATTGTTTGATTTTAAAATGTGTATTGTATGTTTTCATACACTCAAACATAGGTTTCCCACTCCCACCCCACATCATTACACCTGAGGCAAAATAATGACTACCACTCATAAGAGTCAAGTCTGGACAAGTTTCTATCCTAAATGCCTGTATAAAATTATTCATGTATACAACAAATAGTTCATAGACACCTATGACATATAGGAACATTTCGGGCCCTGGGACTATAACTGCAAACAAATCAAAAGATCTCTGTATGAGAATATATCTCATATTCTCTAAAAGACGAGACAAACAATAAATAAGTTAACCAAATTATTTCAGATAAAGTGCTATGAAGAGAAAAAATACAGTGAGTGATTAGGAAGAAAAATGTTTTGAAAAAGTAGCAGGCAAGACCTCTTTAAGAAGGTGATATTTGAGAAGAGATCAGAAAGATGAGAATGAGCCAAACAAACTAACATCTGGGGCAAGAACATTCTAGGCAGAGAGCAGCAGGAATAAAGACTGGAGAAAAAAAAGGCTGAAACGTATCAGGAGCAGAAAGAAAGTCAGAGTGACTAGAGTATTGGTGATAAAGAAGGAAAGGGGTAAAAACCAAGGGGCTCTGTAAGGCTGGGTGGGGGTTCAGATTCCATTCTAAATGCAATGGGGAAATGCTTGGAGGCTGATTTACATTTAATAAAAATAACTCAGAACTGGGGCTCTGTAACAACCTAGAGTGGTGGGATGGGGAGGGAGGTAGGAGGGAGGTTCAAGAGGGAAGGAACATATGTATACCTAGGGTTGATTCATGCTGATGTCTGGCAGAAACCAACACAATATTGTAAAGCAATTATCCTTCAATTAAAAATAAAATAAACTTAATTATATATATATATATATATAAAATAACTCTGGATGCCTTGTGGTAACGGGCAGCAGAGTGGCAAGAGTGGAAATGGGAAGGCTAAGTAAGAGGTTGCTGATGGTGGCTTGGATCTAGGAGGCAGCAATGGAAATATCAAGGAATGACACATTTTCTCAATTATTCTAAAGATAAAACCAACAAAATTGGCTCTAGGATTATTTTTTCAGCAGCACCTCACAGCTTTTGAGATCTTAGTTTCCCAATCAGGGACTGAACCCAGGGGAGCACTAAGTCCTAACCAACGAACCCCCAGGGAATTCCTGGCTATTAAATAAAAAGGAAAGAGTGGGGTGGGGATCGGAGTGAGTGGGAAGGCTAAGGGAGAAGCCAAGAGTTTCATTTTGGACTAATTAATAGGCTATTAACTATCTAAGTGGAACTATAGAATATGCAGCATTTCTATAATTCCAGAGTTCAGAGGAGAAGCCTGGGATAAAAATGTAAATGCAAGTGGCATCATCTCCTCACAGATCAGAAGGCAAAATAAGTAATCTTTGGGGCATTATACCATTTTATGCATTTACAAATTGATCTGGTTTATCCAAAGTTAGCTATTATTTGTGTGTATTTGTAAAAAAAGAGAGACGGAAAGGCAAAATAAACATACCTGAACACAAGAGGAAGAGGAGAAAATAACTTCCCCAAACTGACTAGACTGAAAATTTTATTACTGTTACTTAAAAAGTTATCATTTTGGATTATTTATGATTGATCCTTAATTTATGAGTTTAAGGATGTCAGAAAATTAACACATCAGAAACATTTAAACTTTATAACTTTTTATAAATAAAAATAACAGCAATATAAATAATAATTACCTTCAACTTAATGTTAGATAAACCTTCTTTTTCTATAATACTTCCAGAAAGCTGAATTGCAGATGGAGAGTAATCAATTCCAGTAACATCAGAGAAACCAAATTTTGCCTGGAGACAGATAATTTTATACTTTAGTTTTCTAAAATTTTAAATACTGTTTTACCTATGAGTTAAAATATTCTGTTAGGACCCAGACTGTTTTCTTTTATTAATATATCAAATGACATATGCCCTCTAATAGTATAACATGTTTAAATTTTATTATAGAATCTAAATAGAAACTAAAAGTTTAAATTCATATAATGTGACAATTTATTTGCTTTTATAATATTTGATTTCTTATTCAAAAGAAATTCATTTTCTCAAAGACAATGAGAATATATGTACATTTCTGTCCTAAAGCAGAAAAAGGTAGTATTAATTTCCAATGCTGATATGCTCCAATTCACACAAAAATCTGTCATAAATTTTTCTTAACACAATTAAGTTACATGAATAAATTAAATGCATACGTAGTAAGTCCTTGCTTTTAAAATATTTCCTTGAGTGCAATTATAAATCATGTAATTCTCCACCAACCATGTGATTATTAACCACCTTCCATTTGTACATTGTTTTTCATTTTTAAAATAGTTCACACTTTCCAATAGACTTTTACAAAAAACCTGTGGTATACCGGGCAGGTATTAATACCCCCAAAGAGTTAAAGAAAGCTCAGTGAACTAAAGAGTTTTGAAACTGAACCTGCAATCCAGCTGTTTACTAACCACATTAACCCATGTAAGGGTGCGAGTTGTGAGAAGCCTAAGGCAGAAAAAGCATGATAGCCTCTGGTCTTCAGCCCTAACTATGCTGAACATTGTCAGACCATTCAGGCTAAAGGCAATTTCAAAGGAAATCTGAAGAAGAAAAGAAGTTGCAAAGTAAAGTGTAGCCTGAAATTCTCTTCCTGCTCTTTACCAGTCATTTAAGACTTACGTAGACTTTTCAACCCTAAGTGACTAATTCCTAGTCTAAACTCAATCCAACAATTATTTTCCACAGAGCACTTTTTTCCTCTTTGATCACTTTTATTTTCAGTCTTAAGATCTAATATCAAAAACAAAAGAATCTAATATCCCTTCTTTGATGCCAACCTCCTATTTTTTCAGTGATCTCAATCCATATTCTTTAACAGCTTCATTTTCTCCCAGTTTCCCTCATTTCCTTCTCTATCAGACCTAGAATGCAGGATGATTCCATCAACTGAATCTAACCAGTTCCTTCTTCTCCACACTTGTTTACTCTTCCTTTAGACTTTATAAGAACCATACAAAGACATTTTAAGTTTTGAGAACATTCACTCTCAAACTATTGCCAACATTTTTCACATTCAATTTCTGGCACTCAGTGAGAAATAAGCAGACATTCAAGGAAATAATAAATGACCAAAAACTAAGAGGGAAAAACTTATATTAGGAAAAGGCCCAAAGGAGATTCAAATAAAAGAATGATCAGAAACAGATACTTAATGCAACTTCCCTATCAGTACAGTGGTTAAGACTCTGCACATCCACTGCAGGCGGAAGCCCTGGTAGGGGAACTAAGATCCCGCATGCCACAGTCAAAAGCAAAAAACAAAAAAGAATGAAACAAATCCTTAAAACACTGAAATAAATGACAATCTGGGGGATTGTAACAGAACTGAAACCTATAACAAAGAGCCATACAAATAAGAGAAATTTAAAATGAAATAATTAAGAAATTCAAGGGTGGGATAGATGGCAGACTGGACACAAACACAAAAAATACTGAAGTGGAAGAAAGGTCAGAAGAAAATACCACTGTTAGGCACAGAATGACAGAAGGATGGACAATTAAAAATAGGAAAGAACATAAAAGATACAATATGGCACAGAGTATTAAGATCTAAATATATATGATAGGAGTCTTAGAAAAGGAGGAAATAAAAATAGGGCAGAAGAGAAAATGACATATGACTGAGAATTTCCTAATTCTGACAAAGTATCTGAAACCACAGATTCAAGAAGCACTATAAACTCAAGGGAAGATAAAGACAAAGATAATACAGTATAATATATATCTGACACAATATATAATTTATATTATATACGAATAGTATAATATATCTGATATATAAAACAGAAAAATCTCACAATCATTCAGGGAGTGGGGTGGGGGATACAGTATGACAGATCACCTTCTAAAGACTAACAATAAGACTGATAAGCTAACAATAAGTCAAAGAATGGAAGCCAGAAAACAGTGAAAGGAAAATGCCAATCTAAAATAACATACCCAGCAAAAAAAAAGTATGTGTGTATACACACACACACACACGTACATATCTCCATCAGAAAGGTAGGTGATCACTGCAAAGAGCACCAAATATGAGCAATGATTATTAGCATCACAAAAATACAGGAAACCAAACATTACATACCACCTATTAAATTTACTTATTTAAAAACTGAATTTGATAAAATCTGTGGATCAGAGGTAAACCAACCTTTTCTTTAAAGGTACAGAGCATAAACATTTTAGGCTTGGCCTCTCACACAGTCCGTCACACCTACTGAACTCTACTACTGTAGCAAAGAAACAACTATAGACAACATGTAAATAAATGAATATAGCTGTACCCCCGTTATGAAAACAGGGGAATCCTAGATTTGACTCATAAATTATATAGTTTGCTGAGTCTTATTCTGGATCTAACTTCCAAACTACAGAAAACACAGGAGACAAAAAATATGTTTAAATGGTACTATAAAGATGCAATTAGAGGAGCCCTCCTGCAAGGCCACAAAGATGAGCCGGCTCTGCCTCTCCGCAGCCCTTCTTGTCCTTCTGGGCACCCTGGTGGCCGGTCACCCAGAGGGTGACGACAGCAACAAGGACAGCCTGCGCCCTGCCTTCTGTCTGCAGCCTCCACACACCGGTCCCTGCACGGTCATGCTCACCAGGTACTTCCACAACACCGTGTCCGGGCTCTGCCAGACCTTTACTTACGGCGGATGCAGAAGGAAGCAGAACAACTTCCTGAATGAGAAGGAGTGTATCAGCACCTGTGGTGGCCGCAACAGGGCCCAGGAGAGTCCGGCAACTGTGCTCCCTGAGATGCTGAAGCCCTAGGAGGCCCCACACGGGGCTTGGCTGTGGCTGCTTCTGAGCGAGTTGAGTCTCCTCTGCTTCCTTCTCAAGCCTACCCTCCTCAGCAGAACCCTGCCTCTCTCTTCACTGCAACCTCACCCTCACCCCGCTCCCCAACGTCACTGCTCTCCTTGGAGGGGACAGCGGGGAAATTTGTGGTCCAGCCCTGAGCATTAGTGGTGGCAGAAATCTTTTCAGTAAAGAAGCCCCCTTGCCCCACAGTGATGTTGCATATTTGTTTGTGGCTTCAACCTCTGGCCTTATATCTAATAAATTCATTTTCTAATTAAAAAAAAAAAGATGCAATTAGAAAGTCCACACCATGGAAAATCATTGGGATTAATCAACTACCTTCTACAACAAATAAATCACCAAGTTAAATAAACAAACAATATACAGAGAATTTAAAAGAGCCTTAGGAGACTATCAACCAACTGCAAAATATGGACTCAACAGCAGAATGGAAATGACAGAAGAAAAGTCAATGAACTTGAAGACACATCATGCTAGTTATCAAATCTGATCCACAGAGAGAAAAATAATTGGAAAGAAATGAACAGCGCTTCAGGGACCTGTGGGACAATAAATATAGAAGCCTAACTGATAATTACAGACTCTCAAAAGGGAAGAATGTTATTGAGGGGGAAAAAGATTTTAACACATAGAGCCTGAAAACATCCCAAATTTGACAAAAGACATAAGTTCTTAGATTCAAAAAGATCAGTGAACTCCAAACAGGATAAGCAGAAAGAAATCTAAGCCACAGTACATCATAATTAAACTGCTAAAGCAAAAAGAAAATGGAAAAAATCTTGAAAGCATCCAGAAAAATGATGCATTACTTATAGGAACACAACAATTCAGACAACTGCAGAATTTTCATAAAAAACTATGGAGGTTCGGGGACCTCCCTCGTGGTCCAGTGGCTAACACTACATGCTCCCAATGCAGGAGGCCTGGGTTTCATCTCCCTGGTCAGGGAACTAGATCCCACACACCACAACTAAAGATCTTGCACGCCACAAGGAAGATCAAAGATCCCACGGGCCACAACGAAGAGCCGGCACAGCCAAAAAAACAAGCTATGGAGGTCAGAAAGAAGTGACACAACATTTTTAAAGTGCTGAAAGAACAATTAATTCAGAATTCTATATTAAGCAAAAACATCCCTCAGGAATGAAGGTGAAATGAAGACATTCTCAGATGAAGGAACACTAAGAAAGTTTCTAGCCACCAAAGCTACTCTAAAAATCATCCCTGAAGGAAGTTCTTTAGACAGAAAGTAAACAATATTAATACCAGAACAAACAAATACACACACTCAGAAGATCAGGAATGAAGAAAAAACTGCAAAAGTATCCTTACTTACTTAACTACTACTAACTACTATTCTCCTTTGAAAGGAGAACACAAAGGATAATTACAGCATTATCCAACAGGATTTCCAACATATGTAACAATAATGTTTAACACAACTACAATATAAAGGAAGGGAGATTAAAAAACTCAAATGTTGTAAGGTTTTCCACATTCCACTTGAAACAGTAAAACACTGATTCTAAGAAGATTGTGTAAATAATGTATATTAAAATCTGTACTAAAAAAGCTCCAAACACATTAAATATTGTTTAGTCACTAAGTCGTGACTGATTCTTTTGCAATCTCATGGACTGCAGCGTGCCAGGCTTCTTTATCCATGGGATTTCTCAGGCAAGAATACTGGCATGGGTTGCCATTTCCTTCCCCAGGGGATCTTCCCAACCCACAGCAACCACTAAAAAAGCCAGAGATATAGTCAAATCCTTAGAGCAACCACTTAAGAAACTATACAGAGACATTTACATCGATATATCTAATTAAAATGGAATACTAAAAAATGGTCAAATTAACCAAAATAAGCAGGGAAGCAGAAAGGAAGAATGAAAAACAGAGGTAACAAAGAGGAAAAAAATAATAAAAATGGCAGACCTAAAGGCAAATTGGAAGTGGTCAAACAGGAGATGGCAAGAGTAAACACTGACATTCCAGGAATCAGCAAACTAAGATGGACTGGAATGGGTGAATTTAACTCAGATGGCCATTATATCCACTACTGTGCACAGGAATCCCTTAGAAGAAATACAGTAACCATCATAGTCAACAAGAGAGTCCAAAATGCAGTACTTGGATGCAATCTCAAAAACGACAATGATCTCTGTTCCTTTCCAAAGCACCTTCTGGGCACCCTCAATATCCCGGTAATCAAGTCTATGCCCCAACCAGTAACGCTAAAGAAGCTGAAGTTGAACGGTTCTATGAAGACCTACAAGACCTTCTAGAACTAACACCCAAAAATGATGTCCTTTTCATTATAGGGGACTGGAATGCAAAAGTAGGAAGTCAAGAAACACTTGGAGATGATGCTGTGAAAGTGCTGTACTCAATATGTCAGCAAATTTGGAAAACTCAGCAGTGGCCACAGGACTGGAAAAGGTCAGTTTTTATTCCAATCCCAAAGGAAGGCAATCCCAAAGAATGCTCAAAACACCGCACAACTGCACTCATCTCACAAGCTAGTAAAGTAATGCTCAAAATTCTCCAAGCCAGGCTTTAGCAATACGTGAACTGTGAACTGCCAAATGTTCACGCTGGTTTTAGAAAAGGTAGAGGAACCAGAGATCAAATTGCCAATATCCACTGGATCATCAAAAAAGCAAGAGAGTTCCAGAAAAACATCTATTTCTGCTTTATTGACTATGCCAAAGCCTTTGACTGTGTGGATCACAATAAACTGTGGAAAATTCTGAAGGAGATGGGAATACCAGACCACCTGACCTGCCTCTTAAGAAACCTGTATGCAGGTGAGGAAGCAACAGTTAGAACTGGACATGGACCAACAGACTGGTTCCAAATAGGAAAAGGAGTACGTCAAGGCTGTATATTGTCACCCTGCTTATTTAACTTATATGCAGAGTACATCATGAGAAACGCTGGGCTGGAAGAAGCACAAGCTGGAATCAAGACAGCTGGGAGAAATATCAATAACCTCAGATATGCAGATGACATCACCCTTATGGCACAAAGTGAAGAGGAACTAAAGAGCCTCTTGATCAAAGTCAGAGAGGAGAGTGAAAAGGCTGGCTTAAAGCTCAACATTCAGAAAACTAAGATCATGGCATCTGGCCCCATCACTTCATGGCAAATAGATGGGGAAACAGTGAAAGACTTTATTTTTTGGGGCTCCAAAATCACTGTATTTGGTGATTGGAGCCATGAAATTAAAAGACGCTTACTCCTTGGAAGTAAAGTTATGACCAACCTAGACAGCATATTAAAAAGCAGAGACATTACTTTGTCAACAAAGGTCCATCTAGTCAACGCTATGGTTTTTCCAGTAGTCATGTATGGCTGTGAGAGTTGGACAATAAAGAAACCTGAGTGCTGAAGAATTGATGCTTTTGAACTGTGGTGTTGGAGAAGACTCTTGAGAGTCCCTTGGACTGCAAGGAGATCCAACCAGTCCATCCTAAAGGAGATCAGACTTGGGTGTTCATTGAAGAAATGATGTTGAAGCTGAAATGCTAATACTTTGGCCACCTGATGCAAAGAGCTGACTCATTTGAAAAGACCCTGATGTTGGGAAAGATTGAGGGCGGGAGGAGAAGGGGCTAACAGAGGATGAGATAGTTGGATGGCATCACTGACTCAATGGACATGAGTTTGGGTAAACTCCGTGAGTTGGTGATGGACAGGGAGGCCTGGCGTGCTATGGTTCATGGGGTCGCAAAGAATCAGACACGCCTGAGCGACTGAACTGAATTGAACATCATATTTAACAGTGAAATATTAGATGCTTTCCTCTTATAACAGGCAGTGTTAGAGGGCTATCTGCCTTCATGATTTCTATTCAACGATGACCTGAAGAATACACAGCATTTTAATAAATAAAACATTAAGAATGGAACAGAAGAAATACCACTATTATTTACACATGACATTACAGTCTTTATGGAAAATCCAAAAGAATCTATAGGACCTACTGTATCCCTATGGGAACTCTACTCAATATTATGTAACAACCTAAATGGGGAGAGAATTTGAAAAAGAATACATACATGTATAGGCATAACTGAATCACTCTGCTGTACACCTGAAACTTTACTCCAATATAAAATAAAAAGTTTAATTTTTTTTTAATTTAAAAAAGAATCTATAAACCAACTATTGGAATGAATGTATAAATCACTGGATACAAGATCAATATAAAAATCTGTTGTACTTATACGTAATAGCAATAAACTATTAGAAAATGAAATTTTAAAAGCGTAACAATAGCAATTACAATGACAAAAAATCTAGGAATCAATCAAGGAAAAATACACAAGATCTATACAGAGAAAACAATAAAATACTACTGAGAGAAAATTAAGGACTAAATAAATGGACGAATTCATCAGTTCATGGATTCAGAGACTCAACATTATAAAGATGTAAATCCTTCTCAAACTGATCTACTATATATCAGTTGGATTTATTCTCTAAATGCATTTAAACTGAACAGAATAAAGGAAAAAATTCACATGATTATCTCAATAGATACAGGAAAAACATTTAAACAACAACAACACACACACATACTTAGCAAAGGAGAAATAGGAGGAAGCTTTGGTCTGATAACAGAGTTATCTACAAAACTAACTTATAAGATACATCATACCTAACAGTGAAACACCAAATGTATTCTCTGAAAGGGGCAAAAAAAGACAAGGATGTCTTCTGTCACAACTAATTTTTTATATTCTCCCAAAGATCCCAACCAGTGTAACAAGGGGGAAAAATTACAAAGGATTGGAAAGAAAAGATTAAAACTACCATTATTTAAAGTTTGCACAATTATATGTGTGTGTGTGTGTTAGTCTTTCAGTCTATAACAGAACCTATAGTTAAATTATCAGTCTCAAAGGATAAATCATTAGCCTCTACATGTAAGCTACTAAAATCCAAATAATCCACAGGTAAACAACAGAATGAATAAGTAAAACTGTGATATAATCATACAAATAATCATATACAGCAACAAAAATGAATGAACTACTACGAGCAACAAGTTGAGTGACTCTCACAGACTGCTGAGTGAAAGACACTGGAAAGAACACACTGAAGACTTGCATTTATATATCCAAAATAGGCAAATTAGTCTATGCTGTGATAACCTTTAGAGAGGAAGAAGGAATAACTCTGAGAGGATTAGTAGGGAATTCAAGGGGGGTTTCTAGAGTCTGTAATATTCTACATCTTAATTAGCATGATAGATCTATTCACTGTGATAATGCACTGAGCCATACTCATTTGGTTTGCACACTTTAATGTACATATGCAACACCCCAACGTTTCAAAAAAATTATTACAAATTTTTCTAATCGTATTTCATGGCTTCAAACATTTGAATGGCTCCCCATAGCCTAAAAGCAAAATCCAAGCTCTTATGCATGGCATATGATATGGTTCCTACTTTTAATCTAATCCTCTGTTCTGTCTATCCCACAATACACTTTATAATCTAATTTACCAAATTATTTAGAGGGCCAGAACATGTTATGCTGTTTCAAACCTTCATGGCTTTAGATACTGTTTTCACTTCTCAAAATTCTCTCCCTCTTCACACTCTACTCACACTCAACACACAATTTCCACCAATCTTGGATATTAGCTCCTCTAAGACCCTTTCTCTTCCCTCTTCCCCAAATCACTCCCTTTAATCACTCTCTTTCCTGTACTCAGCATATATATTATTGCACAGACCAAGCTGTAGCATTAGTTATTTATATCTATATCAGTCTATCCTCTACTGTACTGTGAACAACTCAAGCACCAAGGTCTAAATTTTCATGTTTCCAGTGCTCAGCACAAGGCTTGGCAGGTAGCAGTCACTTAATACGTTTGACTGTTATGTATATATCCTTATAAACTAAGACAGTAAAACCGTCAAAGATGAAGCCTGTCTTACACTTCCTCCACAGCACTTGGCACTAGAGGCATGTAACCGCGACAGTTTAGCTAGGAGCAGACCCTGCACCAAACCTTAGTTCCATGGACAAAATGCTCTTTTCAAACCATATGCAAAACACCCTTCAAACCATGTGCTCACCTGAGAAGAGGGATACATGTTCTACTGGAAGTGCAAAAAATCATCTTCCTTTTATATTGCAATACATACAGATTTCCAGAGTTTTGAGCTAGAAGAAACCCATAGAGTAAACCCATAGGTAAAATCTTTAAGAAAGAACTAAAGCTGAGAAAAGAAAAAAAGAGCTTGTTCAAGGTCGAGACTACAGCAAGGACCAAGACTAGAACTCAGACCCCCCGGATTCTCATTTAGTGCTCTCTAACAACCCATTCAGTCTCGTTTCACACTATGCGACTCTCAGACTACGTGGCATGACAGCTTTACTACTTTAGACTTAGCCTGCTAGTATCCCTAGTTGCAAGATTTTTCTTCCTAATTTCATTGTTAAATTTGGCTCTAACACATGAATATTAATAGTACCAACAAGTTCAACCAGGAAAACACCATTTCCAGTTCCAATATCAAGCACTGAAGCATCCAATGGAATCTTGTGTTTCTGCATCCACCTTATTAGTCGAGTCATACTCTCTTCTCCAAACCTATTAGAAAGAGAGAATCAGTCAAACTACCAAGGGCTAGAGAACAAAGGTTACAGCTATATCCCACCTACACAGCTTATTCAATATGCTCAATTAAGGTTTTTTTTGAAAGAAATACTATCTGTAAACTTAATCTTCATCTCTATTATTAAGCAGAAAACACCCCCAAGAACAGAACAGAATGGATAAGGTTGATATGTTACTTATCAACATTTCTCTACATCAGCATTAACATTTGTACATGTTGTTGGCTCAAAACTGCATTGCTTATTGAAAACAGACAATTATAGAATCAGGGTCATTTCCTAAGACTGTCATCAAATTTATACCTAGGCCATTAAAAAAGAAAAGAGAGTGATTCTTTAAATCTACCCATTTAAGCCAGACTCAGTCCAAGGTTCCCAAGATTTTTACTTTCTCTGGGATAAGCACTTAAAAGATACACGCACACACCGACATAACCTTCTGGATCATAATCCCAGTACTTTTTCAGACTCACCAGATTTCTCCTGTATCTCCGTATTCTTGGAAAGTTTGCAGTTCTCTCTTATAGACAGCATCCCAACTATATAAATAATCAAATGCAATGCAAACTATTGAATTAAACTGTATTATGAATTCAATGTATATTTCTCATACATTACTGGGATAGTTATGACAAATTTAAAACATTATTAGTGTTGACATGTGCACATCGCTCAATCTCTTAACATTCTCCTGTTTAAATGTATACATGCAAAGCACTTACAACAATGCCTAACATTAAAAACGGTGGTTTAGCTTAAAAAATACAAAGGAGTATCCGTCCAAGGATCCGTAAGTCCCAAACACAAGTCCAAAACTGTACAGGCAGTGTCATTACAGTGCATTTCAGTCTCAGGTGTAGAGATACAAGAATTAGAGGTGATTACTCACAATGTAATGCATCAAAGATAAGCTCCGCTTCAAAGTTAGCTTTAAGTTTAAAACTTATCTTACTCCTTTTAAGGACTCCTCCCCATAGATGGCCGCCTCTTCCCACTTCCTGTCTCTAGAATGCCTGGTGTGCCTCCCAGTTACCTCGCATCCTTACCTTTCCCCAGGGTCACTCATTCATCCATCTACTAACCCACTAAACGATTACTGAGCGTCCGCTTGGGTCAGATGGCTTTCTCCTACCCCAAGATGCCCACTGTCTCCTCGCTTCCTCCTTAGACCATCCTCGATTCCAACCTTCCCAGCTTCCACGTCCCTGCCCTCCTCCACTGAACCTTCCCAGGTCCCTAGCCGGGCAGTTGTCGCCCAGCCTCCTACCCTTGCCCACCAGCCCTACTTCTCAGACCCACGCTCTTTCCCTTTCCTCAGTTCAGTTCAGTTCAGTCGCTCAGTCGTGTCCAACTCTTTGCGACCCCATGAACCGCAGCACACCAGACGTCCCTGTCCATCACCAATTCCCGGAGGTGGCTCAAACTTATGTCCATCGAGTCGGTGATGCCATCCAGCCATCTCATCCTCTGTCGTCCCCTTCTCCTCCTGCCCTCAATCTTTCCCAGCGTCAGGGTCTTTTCCAGTTAGTCAGTTATTAGCAACAGGTGGCCAAAGTATTGGAGTTTCAGCCTCAGTCCTTCCAATGAATATTCAGGACTGATTTCCTTTAGGATGGACTGGTTGTATCTCCTTGCTGTCCAAGGGACTCTCAAGAGTCTTCTCCACCACCACCCTTTCCTCGAGCCTACCCCCAAAAGCTTAAGACCCCCTAAAAAAGCCCACCCAGGAGCTTTAAGGCCCGCCCCGCACCCCCACGGGCCCCTTAGACGTCAAAGTCTTTGAAAGGTCTGTTCACAGTGTGGCCCTCCGGACTCCATCCCTAAGGTCCCCCTGAGTCTCTCCCAAGGTGGCCCTTGCGGCTTCCACCCATCACGTCCCCCTCAGGCTCTCCCCATCTTCCGGGATCCCCACCACCACCACCACCACCACGTCAGGGCTCCATGTCTCCGTCCCCGCTCCCGGGGCCCGGGCCAGACAGCCAAGCTCATCCTCCCCTGTCCCGCGCCACACTCACTGCTCTCGGGTTCCCAGCGCAGACGGGACAAAGCCATCCCCTCCGCGGCCGCACCCTAGGGACCGCGCCGCGCCTTCCGCGCCGCCGCCGCCGCCGTCGTCCGCTCCCTCGTTCATCGCGCTCCGCGCCCCGGACGGCCGTTGGGGCCGCCATAGAGATGCGGCGCGGGCAGAGCGGACGGGCGGGCTGGCGCCTCTAGGAGGCGGGAGGCCGCCCTCTCTACTGCTCCCGGCCCCCGCGGGGTCGGCTGTCTTGCGCTCCTCCTGACTCCGCCTCGGACCCTAGGCCAGGAGTACATGGGGCTAGGCCTCGCCCCCGTCCCCCCTCGCTCCAGCCAGCGTCAGGCTCGCCCACTGCTTCTGGGTGCCCGGCGTTATGTGCACGTTAGATATGGGGACGGCTGTCTGTGAGGGACTGTTCAAGCGATTGCAATTTGGAAAAAGCCCGGCGGTGGGGAAGCCACACCCGATAACTAAGCTGACGCTGTTCAACAACCCACATGTACAGATCACCTCATCTCTCCACGTCGTGGGCATATCTGAGAAATGGGTGGGACGAACCATCGCAGTATTTGGCATTCCTGCCCAAGGCTAATTCCATTTGTGGCTGGCATCCTGCCTTGAAAATTAGCATTCTGGCCTCTTCTGACTTGACGTCATTGGTGGAGGAAGGACTTTATGCCAGGTGAAATGAAGGCCCTAGGGTACCCCACCCCCATCCTTTCCCTCCCGCCCAAGTAAGCCAACCACGGGTATCAGGAGAGCTGAGTGAGAAGAAAGCTCTAAGTGAAGTCAAGATGCTGTCTCTGCTCTGCTGCTAAACAGGCACCTGGCCCTTTCCAAGACCCCTAACCTCCGTGTGCTTCAGCTTCCGCAGGAGCACATCACTGGGGAAAGACTGCTCCTAACCAGTGAATCTGAGATTCAGCCACCTCCTGGTGGGACGGATGCTGGGATTTTGCAGCATAATGCCAGAGATCCGGTGGGCCAAAGGTCTAGGGACACACCTGTAGCAGCCACAAAATACTGCTAATCTGATATCCTAAGCAAGAATTTCAAAGGCTCCTTTGGGATTTTGCAGCATAATGCCAGAGATCCTGTGGGCCAAAGGTCTGGGGGCACACCTGTAGCAGCCATGAAATACTGCTAGTCCTATATCCTAAGCAAGAATCTCAAAGGCTCCTAGCAAGGCTGCCTTCCAAGCAAAATGCCTGTTTCCTAGGCCACGTTTCTGTTGACCTGGCAGACAGAAGCCTGTTAACAAGTCCCTGGAGGTGAGCGGCATCAACAGTTGCTTTTCCAGCTCACAGAAATCCCAGTTAGGACCGCATGTGCATACCCTGTGACGCAAGACATCCCAAGATCTTCAGGCAAGTGCTGGTGGTAGAATACAGTAAAGGACAGATGGGAATCTATGTGTATAGTGATTAAAGAACTCAAGAAAGTGCATAAGTAACCTTATTACAGAGTAATAAAACCACCAGATGCCACAGTCAATTAGGGCTACCCTGAGTGAATGGTTGTTTTGATCTTTTCTAAACTTGATGCTCAATGCTGGAGAGAGTGAGCTTGAATGTGACTGAGTGGGTCTTAAAAGGTTTTAGGTTCTAATTAAGAAGCGCCCATGAAAGATAAGGCTTTCTTCAATCTGATGTCTTGCCAACACTTAAGATGTTTTTGCTCTGTGTGATGAATGCTGTAAACAGTTGTTAGTATGGAGCCCTGGNGTGAGCTTGAATGTGACTGAGTGGGTCTTAAAAGGTTTTAGGTTCTAATTAAGAAGCGCCCATGAAAAATAAGGCTTTCTTCAATCTGATGTCTTGCCAACACTTAAGATGTTTTTGCTCTGTGTGATGAATGCTGTAAACAGTTGTTAGTATGGAGCCCTGGAAAAAAAAAACCACGATTTATACAGAGTTCATTCTTTGGCTCCAGGCTTACTCTGAGTGTTGAGTCCTGAGTGGGGCACCACCTCTGATCTCCCAGGACAACGTTCTTGGTGGGGGGATGGAGAAGCTGGATCAGAGCAGAGCTGCCCATCACCAGGGAGAAACTGGAATGTACCAAGGAACACAGTTCCTTCTGCCAGGTGCAAGTTACACAAGACAGGAGGGAGGCCTTGAGTGTACTTTGGGTTGCCTGTGGCCCTCTCACTCTGCCAGTCCCTGCAGCTGGACCCCTGCTTACCTACAGCTTCTCTGAAACTGTGCTTTCAGGAGTTCTCAAATGCTGCCCAACTGGCAAAACAACAGTCAGATTCCAGATGATCCTGGTTAGGGTCAGAAGGGATGGATTCTCTGAGAGGGTAGCACTGAGTGAAAAGCTAAAAGAGTTTGCCACAGGCTGTGTCCCCAGGGAAGCAAACTATAAGACTGAGATGAACATGGAAGAAATTAGGGACTGCTCTCAAGATCACCACCTATTGGGGAAAAGAGAGAAGCAGGGTTGGACAGAGGAAGTAGTCAGGCTGGGGTACCATCACAACGGAGCCTTGGCTAACACCCTCTCCCTTGACAGGACACTGTGAAGCTGGGATGATCCTTTGGAATTTTCAGGTTGGATTAAAGGATGTGGGCCTTTATTCATCTGTGGATACACTGACCAGAACTCGAATGCTTTTTTGCCCAGAAAAAGAGGACTGAGCTTGGACAATGAGAATTCCACGAAGGATAAATCCAAGAAAGAGCTGTCAGCACCTGGAAGAATAATTCAATCAGTCTTACAAGGGGACGTTTGGGTCACACATCACCACATCTAGAGCAGAGACTATGGAGTAAGCTTGCAGCTTTCTGGGAGAAGAGCATTCCAGGTGAACAGAGCAGTGAGTGCAAAGGCCCTGATTATCCAGGAAGCGGAAAGAAGTAGTGCAGCTGTAGCAGAGTGAACAAAGGAGACAGCAGCAAGAAATGAAGGAGTCAGATCACTGTAAGGTTTGGGATTTAACCAAGAAGCAACAAAACTTAAATTTAAGCTTTGGTGTGACAGTTTTGACTGATAATGCTGAGAACAGATTTGGTTGGGAGAGGGTTAAAGGCAGAAGTGGGAGCACACTGCCTTTTTCATCCTCATTCAATGGACACTGGGGTAGGATCATTTTCTGTTGTGAGGGTCTGTCCTATGCGTTGTAGGATATTTAGCGGCCTCCTTGACCTCTCACCACTAAATGCAGGTGGCACCCCACACCCCCTCCCCAGCCCACCCCCATCAGTTATAACATCCAAAAATGTCTCATTTTTGTCAGGTGTCCCGTGGGGCAAAACTGCCTCCAGTTCAGACCCCTTGAATTAGGGGCTGTTACAGTGATCCGGGGGAGAAGGCAATAGCAACCCACTCCAGTAGTCTCCCCTGGAAAATCCCATGGACGGAGGAGCCTGGTAGGCTACAATCCATGGGGTCGCTAAGAGTCTGACACCACTGACTTCACTTTCACTTTTCACTTTCATGCATTGGAGAAGGCAATGGCAACCCACTCCAGTGTTCTTGCCTGGAGAATTCCAGGGACGGAGAGCCTGGTGGGCTGCCGTCTATGGGGTTGCACAGAGTCGGACACGACTGAAGCGACTTAGCAGAAGCAGCACAGTGATCTGGGATAGCTTGGACCACTGTGATGGGTATGCTGGTGGCAAGTTGTAGGATTCTCAATATGTTTTTGAAAACTATGTTGACTGATCAAAGGGGAGCATCAGGAATGTTCCAAGGTTGCTGGCCTGTGCAACTGTCAGAAAACAGTTCAGTTTGCTGAGTTTGAAAGAAGTGTGCTAGGAGGAGCTCTGTGAGAGATTACAATCTCAGTTTTGAACCCACAAGACTGAACAAACTGAAGAATAATGATTAGAAAGTTTACTTTCTTCCCCGAGGTTAGTTGTAGTTCATTTTCACTGTTATTTATTATTTATGCTGATTTCATCCTATTCCCATGGATTTTTCATTATATTTGTCTTCTTTCATACCCAGAATCCAATTGCTTCTTAACACCTCCAGTGCCACCAGCATCTCACTTCTAACCACCCCCAAACCAGCACCCAGCGTCTGGACTGTAACGGCGCCCTTCCCCGGCCACTATGTCCTGGACATTGCAGCCAGAGGGGTCACGTGGAAACTGAAGTCACATCATGTTACTTCTGCGTCAACCCCAAACCGTACAAGTGCCTAAATCAACTCCCTCCTTTATCCTTGAGCATGGCAAATGCTGGCTTTTAATACTAAAAAGTTTCGCTTGCAAAGAGAAAAATCTGTATGAGGAACGACCAAGACCAGAAGGCGCCGTGTCTGGGATGTGCAGAGCGCGAGACTGCACGCGGAAGATGCAGTGCTGGAATCGGTGGTGAAGGCGACACACCTTGCACCTCTTACCCCTCACTCCGGGGGCTCTCGGGCCCCTTGGCCTCACCGGTCGAAGACTTCATTTCCCAGCATGCCAAGGGGCTCGCCGGCCGGAAGGCTCCGTGCCCGCCGCGGAGCATGATGGGGGAGTTGGAGCTTTCCATCATGGCGGCTTCCATTTCGGGCTACACTTTCAGCGCTGTGTGTTTCCACAGCGCCAACAGCAACGCCGACCACGTAGGTGTTGGGCCCCCCACCGCTCCCCGCAACCCGCCGCGGCTGCTCGGACCTCCGGCCTCGGTCTCAGGCCGACGCCTGTGGCCAAGCCGGGATCCTTTGCCCCTCGCCCCCTGGGCTGGCCGTAGGAACTGATGACCCGGGAGGCTCCCGCCGCCGGCGAACTCTCGCTGCCCGGGTCTCCTCCGCCCCCCGCCCCGAGATAGGCGTCCCCTCAGTCGGTGCCTTTCATCGGCATGGCCGTCCCGGGACGGCAGTCTCCCGGTGGGGAGCGCTTTCCCGGCCGGCCACCGACAGTGTCAGGAGTCGCTTAGTCCTGGAAACCCAGCGCCTGCCCCTCCCTGAGTCAGGCTTCGAGACTAGTGAGGGTTGTCCGGGGTCGGGAAGGAACCGAGAGACCCCCGCTTCAGTTTAGGAGCGGAGGCTCCCAGCCGCGCCCTCTGGTCTGACAGGTTGTTGTCGGGTGCGACGAGGGTTACCATGGCTATCACTACTCTTTACTTGTTAGATGCGAGTGTGTGTTTTCTTCGCCTCGATGAAAATTGCAGATGTAACCAGGAGTGTTCGGTGTAGGGTCTACTTTGGCCTTGCCGTTGCATGTTTAGTTCCCTGGCGAATGTTCTAAGACCCGGGAACTAGTCTTAGTGAAAATAGGGAAGTGACAGGCCTTTACGTATGAGTGATCGGAAGTGCATTTTTAATGTCCCTGGCTTCTGGATGGAAATTCTTTTATGACATTAGATAATTTTTATCTTTACGTGTTTGCCCACCAAGTTGAGATTGTGTTAAAATGATTTGAGTAGTGAATGATTTAAGTTCACTAAATAAATGTAGTGGGAGGGAGGGTGTTGTCATTACAAAGCAAAATGAGAAGACTGCAGAAGAGGGAACTGGGTTTGGTTTGATGTCTGCGATCCTAGCTTCCATCAATAAAACTGATTTCGTAGAGAGGTGATTTCATCAGTAAATTGGATGGCATTAAAGTGTTGTACCGTCCATTGCTTTAGTTCAGTAGCAGAGATCAACTATAGAAATATACACAACATGGGTGGTAGAGATCAACTATAGAAATATACACAACATGGGTTTTTCCAGAGGCAGCTCCTGTCTCTGGACACTAAGGCCGTTGATACTGCAGCCAGCTCTTTAGTAATGTAATGCATTTCCTTGTACAGGTAATTTGTGATCCTGCTCGTGTCCCATGGAAGTGTTAAATATGGTTTCAGTCCTTTTTCTTAACCTTTCTAGTTTTGGAGTGCCTAGTAATATCGCAGTTTATGTATAAAGCAAAATTACTCTAAGCAACCTGTTGAAAAGTGAATAATTTTAGGTTTTTTTTTTACAGTCTACAGTGAGATGGCCATGTTACTTAGATTGTTACTAACTTGATTCAAGAGATATTTCTCTAGTGTCTGCACTATGCCAGGCCTGGTGCCAGACTTCATAGAAATTTTTACCAATGGCAATAGTTTGCAACTTGTATCTTATACTCTACAAGGATACCTGTTTATATTAACCTTGCCACAGTTACATATGTAGACTACTTTAAAAGAATTTCAGTTTCACGTAATTTTAAGTTGAAGAGCCAAGAATTTGTTTTTGTAGTATATTCTTGTTTTGTCCTGGCAAGAAATTAGTTTAAAGCCACTCAGTTTTCTGTAGTGCTGGAGTTAGCAGACTTTTTCTGTGAAGGGCCAGACAGTGATTATTTTCGGCTTCCTGCGCCTTGTGGCCTCTGTGGCAACTACTCAGCCCTGCAGTTGTAGGGAGAAAGCAGCCATAGACAAATAAATTAGAATGACTGCTTCCAGTAAAGCTTTACCTGTGGACGCAAAGCTGAACTTGATATAATGTTTCACACATCATGAAATATTACTCCCATTTTCTCTTTTATTTCAGCAATTTAAAAGTGTAGAAACTTATTCTAAGCTTGTAGGCCATACAGTAACGGCCATTAGGCTGGATTTAGCCCACACACTATAGTTTGCCTACTCTTATAAAGGAACAGTGGTTCAGATAATCCAACCAATAGATAAATAAGCATCCGTGTTATACTTGGCTTGAGAATGTTTTGATGTCATTGTTGACTTTTTCAAACTAAGGCCTGCCAGATAAAATACAAGGCACCCAGTTAAATCTGAATTTTAAATAAATAGTAAATAATTTTTTAGTATAAATATATCCCATTTCTTACGTTAAAATTATCCATCATTTATCTGAAATTCAAATTTAACTGGGTATCCTGCATTTTTATTCGCTAAATTTGGCAACCTTGGACCATGGAACACTAGGAATATGTAGATATTAAAGTCTAAAGTTGTGTAGGAATCTTCAATTTTATTTTCCACTTTGATTAAAGAAAAATGTTTCTAACCTGTTACAAAGGCACAGCTTGTCTTTTGTAGTAAGAACTCATAATGAAACTAGGATAAAACAAGCTTCTTTAGTCCATGTTTTCCAGACTACTAGTCATGGATTCTCTAGTACATATATAATTTTTTTTTTTTACTGTGTTTTCATTGCTGCATGGGCTTTTCTGCAGTTGTGGTGAGCGGGGACTACTCTCTAGGTGAAGTGTACAGGCTTCTCATTGCAGTGGCTTCTCGTCGCAGAGCACAGGCTCTAGGTGCTTGGGCCTCAGTAGTTGTGGCCCATGGTCTCAGGAGTTGCAGCTCCCAGACTCTAGAGCCCGGGCTCGGTGCTTAACGGCGCGCAGGCTTCGTTGCTCTGCGGCACGTGGGATCTTTCTGAACCAGAGATTGAATCCGTGTCTCCTGCATTGGCAGGCAGATTCTTTACCACTGAGCCACCAGCGAAGCCTGATTTGGGATTTTTATGACACTCCACTCCTCTAACTCAATATTTTGTATCGAGTTATGTATGTATTCAGCTATGCTGAAAAGCCTCTATCTCTCCATCCTCACCCCCACAGATTCCAACTGGGACTTTTTAAACTAAGAAATTTATTCGAAGAATCAACCTACAATAGAAAGGACATTGTTTCCCCAAATGTCTTCAGCCACTCTTTGCTGAGCAACTCTTGTGTGCTGGGCACCGTGCGGGGTGCTGAAGTACACAGTGAACATAGAATCCCAGCTCTTAGGGAGCTCATGTTTTAGTCAGAGCAGGCATTCGTCAGTACGTGTAAATATGAAATACGAGAAAAATATGAGAAGAGAAAGGATGCAGGGTAAAGGGAACAGAGTGTGGCAGACTCTTGATTCTGTTCCACTCTCCAGGGAAGGCCTCTCTGATAAGGTGCCATTTGAGTGAGGAGCCAAATGGAGGGAAGGAGTAAGCCGTGTTGGATGCCTAGGGAGGGGAAGTCTGGGACAGCCTCTTAGTTCACCACCCGCAGGTATGCTGTTTGACGTTTAGAGTGTACATTCTCCTCCAGCAGTGCTTGTGCTGAACTCTATAGCAAATGCCCAAGCAGTAGGTTATGTGCTGAGTAATCCAGAATCGACGGTGGTGTGTGTTCTCAAAGGAGTAAATCACTTTATCTCAGCATTTATTAGGGAAAAAGTTTGACCTAGTGAAAAATTCATTTGCTGGAATCCCAATTTCTCCTGCCATCCCGTACAGGAGCAGCTGTGCATTGTATTAACTTCTTTCTTTACCCTGTTGTCATTAGCAGAGTTTTTAAAACAATGAAATAAATTACATGCTGTTTCAAGAAAGCAGCCTAGAATATTTCTGCTTCCTGAGCTTTTTGATGTTGTTTGCTACACTTAGTGGGATTTAGGTGATGAATTCACTCTACTTATTTTCACTTCAGAAAAACAGGGTTTTAGGGGAAGGGGTTAAAATAATATTTCATCTTGCATGGAATCCTGTATTCAAACGATTCAGTTAATAGCTGTATCTCAAAGTACTTTAGCCGTATACCTGTTGGTTTGTGGAATGGTAGTTTACATGACAAGCTTATTTGGATTATTGTTAAAATTATTATAAAATTGTAATATCCTCAATTCCTCTTAATTCCAGTAAAAATCATTTTTATTTTTAGCTGCAACTCTCTTCTTCCATTGCTTTCAGGAAGGATTTTTGCTGGGAGAGGTAAGGCAAGAGGAAACCTTCAGCATCAGTGACTCCCAAATCAGCAACACAGAATTTCTGCAAGTAATCGGTAAGAGAGCTTATCACGAACCTGAGAAATACTGTTCTTGTATATATGCGCCCTGTTTTGTTCTTTGGCCATTGACTGATTGTAACCTAACAATAGACTTAAAGAGTACATAGAAAGCCACTCATATCACAAAGCCAATTATTTTCACTAGGAATGATATGAAATGTCTTTTGTAAGTCAGCGTAAACCCACAGTGTGAGTCTGTAAGTTCAGGTGTTTTGTGACACTGTCCCTGACCCAAGTGGTCTGACCTGTGAATGGCTGTGTGGAATTACACACGTCTCTTCACAGCCATGGTGAACCCCGAGTGTGCACCTTGGGCTGTGCCCATTGTCAGCATCACCTCATACTATAATGAAAGCACGTGTTGTGCCTGTCCTTCCTAGAGGGATCTGGCAAAGATGTTTACACTTGTTTAGAGAAGATATTTGTCAGACCCACACAGCTTTCTGAGGAATAAGCCAGTCAGTTTGGGGGAGCTTACTGGGGAAAAGGAAGGTGTTTTGTGGGTGCATGGCTCTTTGGATCAGTCTCCTTTTGATAAATAAGGATCATACTGTTTTGCAACTGCACCTGATGCGCATCACCAAACAGCATATCCTGATACTGAAAACAGAGCAAGGGCTGTTTCATTCATTTCTGCAACCAACAATCACTGAAAAACGTCAGTGCATGAGACGTGTGCTGGGCAGTGAGAGGAATGTCCAGTGCGTCTCTGCCTTCCAGGACTGTGAGAAGAGGAAGACAGGTTTACAGAAATACCGCGCATGCAGGCTGAGTGCTGTCAGAGAGGAACAAAGACAATCTCCTGAGTTGGGGGGGAAAAATGCCATTGGGTTAAATCAGTAACGACACCATGAGGGAGATGAGCTGAGGGCCAGTGAGTGGTATGTCCAGGGCACCTCAGGGCAGGGAGTGCATAAAACATGCAGGGAGCCTGGCCTGTTTCTTTGTGACTAGAACACAGACTGTGTGAAGGTGAGTGGCTTGTGTTTTGATATACTGCTAGGAGGTTAGGTTATGCTGAGGCCAAAGCATTGATTTCGGCCTGTTCTCGTAGCCTTCTAGTACCTGGGCTGGGGCCAGGGTGAGGACTCAGGTGGTGAGGGTCAGGGAACACAAGAGATAGCTGTCTCCTAAAGATCCAAAACTATGAAACCCACTCCCCACAATACTGACTTGGTAAATAAATACTTGATATTTGACATGCTGTGGTGTAGCTGCTCTTTCACGGAGGTTTTATTTTTGTGTTTTGTCTTGCTTAACTCTTTAAAAAACCCTAAAATAGAGAACTCAGTTTCATTGGCCATCTGTGCAATTATTCATTGTTTGCACTTGGGTTTTCAAAACTAATGTGGTGTATGAGGGTTTGCCAGAAAGACCTGACGGCACACCATGCAAGAAAGAGCTTTTGCCTGGCATGATCACAAAAGTAGCATTTCTGGTGAGTGTTCTGGCTGTTTATTTATCTTTGAGGAAACAGAATAGTAAAGTAATTTAAATTCTCCAGCATAGTGTACTCTTATCTTTGATTCATAAATGCCAGTTCCCATGGTATTACAGATAGAGAGACGTGCCAGCGGCTAGAGAGACCCAGGTAATGCAGGGCCATGATGACGACCTTCTTTTGCTGTACAATGTTTAATTTATTAGCTACATTCAGTTTATTGTTTGAAACAGTCATGGGTCTCAAGAGTATTTGCTAGTATTAAATGTATGGTTATCATTGTAGTCTTTTTCTCTTTTTTTAGTGGTGTTTTTCATTTAAAAATAAACACATATCAATATTAGAAAATGTAAACCGGGACCCTGGAAAACCTGGATTAAAGGACCAAGCGTTAGATAACGAACGTACCAGGAGAGGTATTTCAAACCACTAGTGCAAAGAAATTTTCTGGATAGTTTAACCTCCAGCATATTTTAAAATAATAAATTGACCCAATTTCGTATTTGTTGAAAATGCCTGAATCCACGCATGGACACCTTTCCCTGACTCTGCACAATAAGGAGGACTTGATATGAAATGCCATGCTTTGAGGGAGCACCCGTCTTGAACACATTCATTTTTAAAGCGGTGCTCACACACTTGAAGTGCATCTATCCACCCCTCGTGCCGGGAGTGGCCAGGAGTGGCCGGGAGGAGAGAGCAACGCGAGAGCTCCCTTAGCTAACGAGGTGAGGGCAGCAGCAGTTCCTGGAAAGATGGAAGCGGGGATGAGAGGGGCTGTTCGACCCACCCACCAGCAGGAGAAGCAGCGACAGGAAGATGAGCCGGCCCAGCAATGCGTCCCTGTGGGGATGTTCACAGAGGTGCAGAAAGCACCGTGCACGTATGAAGAGGGCTCCACCAGGCGGACAAGCTCTGGAGGCCTCCAGAACTCTGCAATCCCAGGCCAGGCTGCCCTGGCTCCCCTGCTTCCAGAAGTCTGCCTAGCAGCTGTCACGGCCGCCAGCGTCACACCAGTCTGCAGCTTAATCGTGTTTGAAAGCATCACCCTGCTTTCTCCACGGAGTGCTTAGTTAGGCATTGCAGAATCTTGTAGGAGAAAGCTCTGACCCTGTAGAAAATACAGTGTGGTATCTAGAGCATATCTTCAGTATGCTTCTCATCCAGGTTGTAAATCATGAAGGAAGTCTGCTGGGGTGGATTGATGACAGGAGTGTGTCTTCAGAGTTCAGAATTTACTCTAGGGATTTTTTTTAAACAAAATATTCTTTGCTTTCAAGTAGAAGATGAGGACTTTTTTTTTTCATTCCCCTGAACTCTAGTTAACATTTTTACTACAGATGTTCTGCAGTCTAATTACTTTACTGACAGTATCTCTGAAATAACTTCTGATGGTATACTGTATCACTTTTGGTAATAAAAAGAGAGGATTTCTAGATGAGATTTTCCAGTTTGCATCACTATGTTGACAGTTATACTCGGCAAATAATCTTTTCTTCCCTGTGGAAGTACTGGCATTTTTGTGTTTTGGCAGCACTCATCGGTACAGAAGCTAATGGGCATAGCCCAGTGTCCTTCAGGGTTGTGGTTTCATTTTAATTGAGTTAAAATTGCAGCCTGGAACTCTGTGGCTGTGGCTTTATAAGCAGCAGGTGATGAGTCGCTGGCCAGGAGAATGTTGTTAATAGAATTGAGTGGTTAATTAGTCCCATGGTCTTGTACGTCAACCCAGACCCTAAGCCCCCTGATGAAGAAATGGTTCACTACAGTAAATCACAGCAATCTTTTCAGAAGTTGTTTGGCTCTGCCTTATAAATGGCTGTTTCCCTTGTGCTGAAAAGCTTTGAAAGGGCTAATAAACTTCCAGAGTTTTCCCCTTTCCCTTTCAAACCCTTTGGCCCGTTTTTCTTGCTTTTTTGTTGGTTTCTGATGGCAGAGTGGTTAAGGCCCTCCTTTCCTCAAGCTGTCCTGACAGCTTTTATCCACCTCGATTAAATACTTTGAATCAGTGGTTCCTTTTTCCTCTTGGAAAAAGGTAAGATTGACTAGGAGCACACAATAGCTGTGTGATCCTGAATAAAAGCTTTCAGGCGTGTGCTTATCGCACGCTGACAGATGGACCCAGAACCGTCATTTGCCATTTTACTTTGTCCTGAGAGGGTGTCCCTGAGTTTAAGTGTTAAGGAGACACACTGCCTTCACTAGTGTATACACTCTTTGGGAGAGGAAAACTGTCTTTTTATTGTCTGAGATTTGGGTTTAAAGTTTCTTTTAAATCCTGAGCTATTTTATAGTTGTCTGTATCTTACATGATTAACTGAGATGTATTTCCTCTTTCTGATTACAGAAATCCATAACCATCAGCCTTGTTCAAAACTTTTTAGGTAAGCCACATCCTTCTTTGTAGCTTTTCATCCTTACTAAAAGATTAATTGATTGAAAACTAATGAACTCAGACATGTATCTGATTATGGCTGTAGTGTTTTAAGTATAACTGAGGGGGTCCAAGTTCACTGATTTACTGGGTGCCAGATGTGTGTGTATAGCACTGTGTTAAGTTAGGAAAAGGGGAAGGGAGGGCAGATAAATCTTGGCCTCAGTGGTTTAAAATGGAAGCCTTCCTGCCAGCCTTTCTGGCACGGACTCATCAACCATATAGAAAGCAGTTCATCACGGATCACATAGAGATAAAAGCATATTGTAAGAGGGATAAAAACTGTTCAGTGTACAACTTTAAAATGTAAGGAAAGGGAACATAAAGCTTATTTTTTTGAGTTTAATATATACCAGTTGCATGTTATGACCAACTAAAGGACAGAAAGAAAGAAACAGGAGGAGAGACATTCAAAGGGAGAAAGTAAGTGACAGGGACACCCATGGAGGCAAAGGTGAGCGAGAAAGTGACCAGCATGTCACCTCCACCAGACCTCTGCTCCCCAAGCTGCAGTCCAGGCCTCTGCCTCTGTCTGGAGCCCCTAGCCCTTCCACCTGTTGACAGATATGATGACCTCCACTCTTGTGTTTCTTAAAACTCCCTGAGGCCCTGTTCTTCTCCTTTGTGAAAAGCCAGGCCAGTCCCGTCCTTGCACTTCTGCCCATGCCAATTGGCCTCAGCGTTCTGGGTCGGCACCTCCTGCCTTGACACTGCCAGCCCCTTGTGCCAGGTTGTTCCTGCCGTGTGTTCGCACCCTGACTCCACTCCCATCCTCAGCTGACCTAAACTTCCAACCCGTCTGCACCCAAGAACCCTGGAGACTTACACTGTGTTCACTACCCATCTTATCCCCACCCCTCCCACACAGACTTCCCCCTTTTTCAGAGGATTGTTACCTGTGAACAAAGCCCCACGATAGCTGCGAACCTCACTCTTGGCTTCACATGCAACTGAAGAGGAGCAGAAAGCAGACCAGGAGTCAGCAGCTGCTCTGAAAGGCATCTCAGAGCAGTGAGATCGATGGCTGCTGATGCGGCAGTCAGTGAGTGGCTCAGGCCCTGGGCCACGCACAGGCTTGCTCTGGACTGGAGAGGGTCCTGTCGTTTGGCCCTGACCATCTCAGACTTTGCTGGATGTGCCCTGCCTTGTCTTTCTCAGGAGTTCCTTAAACCACTGTCAGTAAAGTAATACCCGGGACATAGACCCACAGACTCATAATTGAAATCATAGACTCATCATTCGTAGGACTGAAAGAAACCATGGAAATCATATGTCTGCTCCAAACTCTTTATTTTACAAGAAAAAAAGTGGAGGCCAGCGAGGTTCAAGTGACTTGCCCACAATCATACAGAGAGGAGCAGCGCAGAGCTGGAGCTGGTATCTCCTGACTTCCAGTTCAGTGTTTTTGCTGTAACCTGAACTCCTTCCTGCCTGTCAGGCCTGGGCTTGTGGTGGGGGGAAGAGGGATGTGGGATTCCTGAAACCAGGACCAGTGATAGAAAAGGTCATACATCATTATGCCTGAACTGCTCTTCACAGGGTCCTGGTCAGATGGATCTCTTTTAAAGGTGAGTGCCTTCAATTTGAAGCTGGCCAGACATAGATCCAAATTCCAGCTGTTCAGTCCACCAGTTCTATGATTTGGGGCAAGTCACTTAACCTCAGTATCTTTATCTACAAAAAGGGAGGAAAAAAAGTGTTGACTTGTTG